GGCAGCTTTCCAGGTCCATCCATCCATTAGTAGTAGTAGTAGTAGTAGTAGTAGTAGTAGTAGTAGTAGGTACGTACGTATGTACTTATGTATGATACAAAGGCATCGGTCTTGGGTTTTCCTCATCGGTTTTCAATGAATGCTCAATGTATCCTCAATGTATGACCTACCGATGTAAAGCTTTTGGTTCCAAGACTTTTGGACGGATCTCATATTCATCCGCTGATGGCAGCGGAAGAAGATATGAGGCACCCCACCCATGATCGCTGACAAATGCCCGGCTTCGAAGCTTCCGTTGATGTCATCCAAAACAGTCACCAAACCAGCATCCTTGGCAGTGCAATCAGGATGGTGTCGTCCCACGTGTCCTGAGGACGAGCCTTCGGACCGGTCCTGTTCGCAGAAATGGGTCATGCGTCCAACGTCCAACGTTGAACGCTACATGCATATCCCATGGTTTCGGACCGAGCAAACTACTGTCCCTCATCACACAATGGATGATAATTTGATTATATCAGAACCCCCCGTCCAGTCCAACCCCCCGGATTTGAGGCACCCGGCGGATTTCACTGTGCAGTGAATGTTTTGAAACTGCAACGTGGCCGTCTGAAGCTTTCGAGTGATGCCTCACGAGTTCGGCCAATGATGAACTAAATGAGACAAGCACAGTCCGGCAGGAGCTCCACAGGAGCTCCGCATGAAGCGATATGAAGCGCGCACGCCTCATAACCCCGCGGAAGACATAAGAAACTAAATTAATAGCTTTTTGTTACTACTAGTAAGGCACCTGTTACTACTAGCGAGGCACTTGTTACTAATAGCTTCTTGTTACTAACCCAATCACCGCACCTCGAAGTTTGTTCTGCTCCAGGTGGCGAATGCTCGAGTTCTCGAGGATTTTCAACAAGAACCTCGGAGAATTCCGGTCAAGAACCATCGAATGAGGTCGGTTCTTGTTCTTTTGAAGACGCAAACCAGTCAAGAATTTTAGTGAAGCTCTCTGGACGTTCAAGATCTTGTTCACATCTTTTGCATTCGTTGCACCGTACCGACAGTTCCGATACGATACACTCTTCTTTTTGTCTTTCAGCTTGCGAGTGGTTCCTCCTAAGTCATCCAGAATTTACTTGGTGTCAACAAAACGGCCCTAAGTCATTCAGGAACGCTCACCGCGTTAAAACAACATGACAGATCATGAAAGAAAAGAAGTTTGGACTCGAAGATCGAATCCACCGCCACGCTGTGGAATAGCTTGACTATGATTGAATCACATCCGTCATCCGTCACCCTTCGCCATCTCTCGGCGCCGGACGCATCCGTTTCTTGAAGCCTCTCAAGCTCTTGTGCCTCTCAAGCTCATCCGTCAGACGCCAACTCAGCCGTTTCAGCAGTCCGTTTCGGACCAAAGGCGGTCGCCCTGAGGTGTGGACGGCCAATTGGTCACGCTGTCGCGTGTAGCGTTGAAAAAGGAAGCAAAATCCCAGGACCAACACCTCAGATCAGCACGATCGCTGTTTTCTTTGGGTTTTTTTTCTCAGCAAAACCCACAGCTCGATCGATCCGATCTCTTGCTGCAAGGCACAGAAACGCACAGCAAGACAAAAATGGCCACTTTGCTCTGTCGAGCCTGGGCGCTGCGACACCCGCAATCTGGAGAAATCGATCTGTTCTATCAATGTTGGCATGAAGAGCCAACCCTGCATGTCCTGTTCTATCTCTCGCTTCTTGGCTGAACGTGGGATACATTGATCCATGGCTGAACGAAGTTCCTGGAAAGCCTCCTTCGAATCCCTCAGAACTCGACACAAGAAAAGAAATCCACATCGGATGTGCGTGCGTCGCCCCATTGAGTGGCTCGAGAGCTGCTAAACCCCTGGCATCTCTGGGATCAACATTGCTTGGCAAGCCTCAGTGTCAACCGACAATTCGGAGCTTGTGGGAAGAAAAGGGCGCGCTGGGACGAGACCGGTCACAAACATGCGAAGCGAGAGCAGGAAGTCCTGCTGTTGATCAGGCAGCTGTATGGGACAAAGAGATTGCAGTAGAAGAAAACTGTTTGTTGAATGTGTTCTTTTCGTTGGTGGTGAACGCAACTGTTGCGGCCTGAACACCTGAGCAATGCAAACTCCATAGACACCGCCAGTATTGAAACGAGCTCTCAAACAATCTCAACATGGGGCATCTCTGTGAGGCAACAATTGAGCTTAGTGTTGATGGAAATGCAACTCCTCCTCTTGTGAAGGTACCAGGATGGAGGGTCGACAGCCTGTTTTATGTCAAAACAACTCCCTTCAAGCCCTTCAGGGACTAGAGTCTGACAAATCATAACAAATCAGGAACTTTCAAGAAAGCTGACCAAAGTGCCTGGCCCGTGCTCCCTCTCTCTCTTTGTGTTTCTTCCCGAATGAGGAGAAATGAAGTCTTTTCTCAGTAGATGTCCGACGATATGCGTCTTGAGGTTCCTTGTTGTTCTACGGTGTTTTGACTTCACATTCTCTTCCTGCATTTCCCGAGGCCCCTCAAATGCAGGATTTTTTCCGTACCTGTTCAAGTGAAGGCATATTTTGATGTACCTGGTGATGGTTCTGGAAGGAGCGGATACCACCGTATCCCTGCAAGATTGAAAAACGATTCGGAGCACCTGCAAGATTGTTCGGTGCTCTAAAGCACCCAACACCAAAAAGGTCGCCGAACTTCGGCGTGTGGTTCCTTCCTGTCAAAAAATTGAGAGGTACACATATACTGATAGGAGCACTAAGGTCGCTGAAGGGTTATGACTTTGAAGTAGTCGACGACCTTGCCATCATACTGGGTGTTTTGTGTGTGTGCGTAGCGAACCCTCTCTACTTGAAACATCTTGAAGCAGTCTTCACAGATTCTGATCCTCACTCAAATAGAGAGAGTTCCAACAAGCAACCGACCCTTTTACACAACACATATATGTTTCATTTGTACCTCCTGCGACCCCGGAACCAAAAGCTTGACTTCCTCTGCCCAGTGGCCGCCGTTGGGGACAACGCCCGCGGCGGTTGCCACACTGAGCCAACCGAGGACAAGCGCACCACATGCCCTGGACGCGGAGTCAATCCGCGCGGACTGAGACGCGCGCTTGCATCTGTTGGAGAAGCTCCCTGGAGGGGATGTAATCCGTATGGGTCCCTGCAAAGACATGCTTCCTCTTCAAACACTTGGTCAAGACTTGTCGCTATGTTTCAATTATAGAATTATAGTGCATATTACAATAGACAAAAGAAACATATAGCATATGTATGAACTTTATTCTTTGTGCCACTCCACCTATGATTGCGCTCCCTTCTGTAAATAGAACCTCGGGCCAACTATGAACCTGACTGCTCTCCCGTCAAAATTCCACCAATACTCAGGTAATTTGATTTGTAAAAGCACGAATTACACCTATATAAGTATTAAATAGACCTAAAATTATCGCTCAACAAACGCTGCAATACTCGCGTACATTTGATCCAATACTGGCGCGGGTTGATCTCGGAGAAAGTTAACAATAAGTCACTGCTGTTATCGAAAAAATCCACAATACTCATGTAGTGTGATACAACAAATCCCTGTACTCTTCGAATTTGAGAAAAAACGAAAAATTCAAGAAAACATATGTATAACGGACATAGATTTAAACACTTCCCAATCACATGCTGTTCAATATACAAAACCCATACTAGGTAATTTCAAAATGGACAATTCATATCAATTCATGACAACTCTAAACACACATTGAAAAAATACGAAGATTTTGGCTAAGGGTACCCCTTACGAAGATTTATATACGAGGCCTGATGCAAAGAAATACAAACACCTGCCCAAAAATACTTGCTTCAGCCGCCTTCCACTTGGAGTCTCGGAACACGAAAAGAACCAACTGTGAGAGCAAGCGCCGTGACTGTGCTCAGTTCTCTCCTTCTGTTGCTGCAGGTAAGTGAATTTCGCTGCAAACAGGGGTGCTTGCTCAGCATTCAGGTCCAGACATGTGTCCTTTCATCAGCTGCATCCCAGTGGCAAAGTGTTTGTCATTCAATTACTCAAGTTATCTATCTTTCAACTGGTTTCAGACTTTTGGCCAACAACCCTGGTTTTGCAGCCCCAGCTCCTGCTGTTGCCTTCTATGACCCTCTCTTGACTACACCCATGAAAGACTTCGAGCACCACAAACAGTCCGAGTCCGGGTCAAACACTCTCGGTGGATTCATCCTCCTCCTCCTCCTCCTCATCATCATCATCATCATACGAAGCTGATGTAGACCGCGGACACCTCTATCTCTACATACATTCCACTGTTGCCTGAAAAGGGACTCAGCCGAACTCGGCACTGCACAGCGCACGCGGCACACGCACGGAGACCTTGCCTCGCATGGCTTTCCATTGCTCCCGCCATGAGTTCAGCAGGCTTGTTGAGCACAGACCAACGGGAAAAGAAGGCCCGCAAAAGGGAGGTTCCAAAGAATCGAAGACAAAGGATCCAGAATGCCGATTTAACAAAATCCTGATGTAGGTTCTTCAGTTATGCTATGCCTGCAGTTTTCACTTTTTTGCAAGTCTTCAAGACATTTTGGTGTAGCACCCGACAAGCACATGTCCACACACATGGAGAGAGAGAGAGAGAAAGAGGGGAAGATAGACAATTCCTGGGAGGGATTCTTAGTTGGAAATATGATATATGAAATATTGAAATACCGGTTTATGACTGGTGACCCATATTGCATAAAGACTGACCGTCAGACTGTCAGATGTCTCTCTGAGGGACTGGCAAATCTCAAAAGGAAGAAAAAAGTCAGGAACAAGCTAGCCTTCTAGTAACAAGTGCATCGCTACTAGGAACAAGGGCCTTACTACTAGGAACAAGAAGCTACTAGGAAACAATATTAGAATTTAATTAGTTGAAGCTAGCCTTCTTGCCAGTATCCCCATTTGCACTGGACCAACGAAAGACTCGACACGCGCACAACCACGTCACGCGCGTGACGGGACACCATGGTCGTGGAGAAAGGCCACCGCCTCCAACCTGAGTTAGTCACTCTCAGGCTTCAGTGTGGAGCGGAGGGTAGCAGAGAAAACCGTTTCAATATGCGTGGTTCCAAAAGTTGTCCAAAGGATGGTAGTTAGTCTTTGTAGAGGAGCTCTAAAAGGAACAATTCCCATACTCCATTCACTTAGCATCTCTTTCAAGGCACCCCTTTCTGTGACCTCTCAAGCATCTCATTTGAACTGGCTTGTGCGGCCGAACGGCCATGAACTGCCTGATTCGTCATGCCACACGTCCCTTCGATGCCATGAGACGAATCCGTCAAACACGGAGAGGGAACAAAGTCCTCTTCCATCTCTATGGTCACTCTTCAGTAGCCTTCAGTGTCATGTCCATCGTCACACTGAGCTTGCAAACAGCTGGCTGAAGATCGCCCTGATCTCCTCAGATCCATTTGGATGGCTCCTCACCCAGTCACCTTCACGTCACACGTCCTTCCAAAAGCGGACCAGCGACCCATTTCCCAAGCAGAAGATTTCGTCTATGTCCAGATCCACAGGGAAGAGGAAACCCGCAGGTAGCAAGGAGGAGTGCATGGGAGTGCTTTTTCTTTGTCTTGTCTGAAAGTCATGACAGTCATGCCGTCTTTGACTTAAAGTATCTGTGCACAGTATGACGGTTTTGGACTGACAGTTTGTGTGCTGCAACTTGCTCACACCACCAAACCGTTCCCAAACGAAAGGCCACACAAGAACTAAAAAGACTAGAACTGATTGCTTGGCTGGTCAAATCACTATGAAGCACTTCATATCATCAGCTTTGAGACCTGAGACGTTCACAGGGTTCCTTCTCATTCCGCCAACATAGCAAACAACCATCGTCCGACCCACAGGCTCCGCTTGTAGCCGCAAGCGTGGCAGTACGCGTCGGAACCAGGCCTCAGTGCCAGATCGCGATCAGATCGGAGCGATGCGGCGCCGGGTTCCTTCTGGGGCGCCGGGCGCTGAAGTCGCAGGGCACATACTCTGTGGCAATAAAGACCCGGGGAGGAACGACCTGCGGTTCGCAGGGAAAACTGGAGGCGAACGCATCGTGAAAATCCCAGGGCGAACGCATGGGCTTCAAAAAACCTACCGATGTTTGTGTTTCACTGGGGACGGTCGTGGGCTTCAAAAAACCCGAGGGCTTGGTCGCGGTATAGACTTCGTGTGTCCCGCTTCGAAAACGGATGTCCATCTGGTAGACCCTCTGGTCTGTCCAAGTACCAAAAGGGAACAACATCAATGTTCCTCGTCTCTGCGTACGATGCAGGTCCCCATAGACATCCCATAGTCTCTTGCGTGGCATAATTGTTCACCCTAAAACCAGAGGCAAACTTGGATGCATCAAGCGAAAGGAATGCAAACAAACAAACAAACCAACGCAACACAACAAAACAAAACAAAACAAAACAAACAAACAAAACAAAACACAATAAAACAAAACAAATCTAGCGGCGAAGCTGGTGGATTCAGGACGTCAGAGGGGCTCTGAGTGCTGCTAATTCTATTGGTTCTTGGGAGTGTAAACCTTTGGCCAGGACGACAGCATTGTTGGGATATGGATCGATGATCTTTCACTAGCTATCACAAACATGTCCTAGGTCCTACTGTGGGATACTTTTGTGTGTAGACAACAAAGGGAGTTGCAACTTGCACTCAGCATCACTCAGCAAACTCCAACATACATTCAGATGTGTTGAGCTTGTTTGATTGCTTCAAAGGCCTTGCATGACCAAACATAATGTCAATATCGTTCTTTCCTTTTCATACTGAGAGTGGACACCTCGCTCTTCAGATCTCACGTGCTTTTCTTTAACAGGACAAGCAGCTGCATGGAACAGTCAATGCGTGTCAATGCGTTCTTGAATGCAGATGAAACAAAAGAACCAAGGATGTGCAAATTGCAGGAAATCCTGAAAAAATAGAAGCACAGTGGGGAATTGCCTGCATGTGGACTAGATCACAGCCTGTGCAGCTGGACCCCGCGCCATAGATGGCCGTAGGTTTTTCTTCAATCTAACTTTCACATTTGTTCAGGAGGGTTTTGCGGGTGGGGTGAGGGGCTGGGGATGTACTTACTTTTGTTCGCGGGGGAAGGGATGAATTTGGTTTGTGGGACTTGAGTTTGTCGGCCGTCGCAAGTTGACCCTGGCTCTAGAGAGGGCAGCGGTGTGGAATTTGGCGTTTGTGATGCTGAGCACCTCTCGGCTTCAGGTCCAGGTCTTGGCGCAGCTTGACAGAGTTTTCACACCAATGAGCGGGATGACCCAAAGGACACACTACTGAATCCCTTGTACGGCAAAAGTGCTTTCGGATGTGGCGCCAGGAAATGCGTGGTAATGTCGGATCCTAATTAGTCGAGTGGGAGGGAATAATACGTAGTGTTCGCAAAATAATTCCAACACCCTGAATAGTTTAGTGGGAGGGAATAACAAAATATAATTCATCCAGGGTGTTGTGTTTACTTTTTCTATTGTTCTGCTTTTGTTCCTTCTTTAAAGTCCTTAACTCTCCTGAGGTTTGATTGATTCATGGAACTCTGACCTGGAAATTGTTTTCAAAAACGCTTCTTAAAACTCAACGAGTTCATTGTTCCAAACAATTTTTCAAGGGGGTAGTACTCAAGCCCAGGGGAAGTGAATAATATCAATTGTCTGGGGGTGGGATTAAGAAGCAAACTTGGAGCCCTGGGGGCAGGGGAAAAAACAACTTTAATATTGTTCTGCTATTGCTATCAGTTCAAATCCCTACTTAACTCTTCTACTACTACTTACTGTACCTCTTCTACTACTACTACTACTACTACTACTACTACGACTACGACTACGACTACGACTACCACTACCACTACCACTACCACTACCACTACCACTACCACTACGACTACTACCACCACTACTACCCCCACTACTACCACCACTACCACTACCACTACGACTACTACTACTACTACTACTCCTGCTGCTGCTGCTGCGACTACTACTAGACGACTACTACTACTACTACTATAACTACTAACTACTAACTACTACCTACTACCTACTACCTACTACTAGTACTACTACTACTCCTCCTCCTCTTCCTCCTGCTGCTGCTGCTGGTGCTGCTACCAATACTACTAATTGTTTTTGTGGCGGGGATACCATTCATACTCCCTTGATTGCTTGCTAGGGGGGACCCGTTTACTATTTAAGACCCAACATGAAGATGATTTCTTGGAAGAACTTCAACAACTGCTGAAGTGTTGAACAAGTTGCGTGAGCCACTAGTTTTCGACGGAGTGCCAAGAAGCCTTTGAACCAAAGTTCTATTGGCTTTCGGATCCTTTGTTGCTTCTCCCCAGTCAGGGGCCGCGTTCACACGTACCACTTCGAGCTTAGTGAACTCCCCCCAATGCCCCCTGCGAGCAATTCCAAAGAGCACAAAACCACTACGGGCAATTTGTCTGGTGGCGTGTACCTATATGGTTATTATACAGTTTCATTAATGTGTTTCTCGACTTCATGGACCATGGCGTAGGACCGGCCATGGCGTTTGTCGGCCCAGTTTCCCACACCGGCCACCAGTTTTGCACACCTCGACTTCGATCAGGCGGAGGAAGTTGAGGTGTTGCGCTCGCTTCACAGCATGGAGGAAGCCCACCTGAAGCGACGTTTAAATGGAACCATCTTCAACCTCAAAGTCTCTCAAAGCAGGTGATCTTCCCAACATCATTGTAGTTTTTTTCGCATTGTTTCTCAATGTTTTTTTCAGATATGTTCACATTGTGTTCTTTTATTCCGCCTTTTGTGGCTACCACCGGAACCGCAAAACGCGTCGGCTTTCCGCCTCGCGCAGGACGCTGGGAAGCAGGCCGTCGGAGGTGTTGCCGTTGTTGCGTCTGTCGCGACGCGAAGCAGGCGCGGAGCAGGCGGAGCTGTTGGTCTCCGCGGTCGAAACCAAGCGCCATGAAGGTCCGTCCGGCATGAAAAGCAATGAGCAGAGTGATGTACAGAGTAGCCTTTACTGGTAAGTCTGTGGATGGGAACTTGACTTCACACCCAGCATGACCTACAGTACACTAGCTTCTCCAAAAAACCTGAAGAATTTGAGAAGGAACACTCCAATTCTCACCCCAATTTCGGCGAGGTGGGCGGTCTCCAAGCCGACCGAGTGACACATTCACCAGGCTCCCACGCTCCAAGTCGAGGGTTCTCAGCGCCACCTCCTGTTTTGCGGAGCAGGAAAAACGTGTGGAATCCGCTTCGGCGAGTGAAGCAGGAACTTCTTCTTCTTCTTCACTGGGAAGGGTTTCTTATTCTTCGGCCCAAAAGGAAAGCTCTTCCCTGAAGTAGGAATTGGCTAGACATGATGGAAGATCTTCCATCACTGTCTAGCTAGACCATGCAAGGGGTGTCCAATGGAGGTCCTTCTATCCTTCTGTAGAGTAGTTTTTGGGGCGACCCCATGGATGGTCCTGGCAGGTCTAGCGCGGAGGGACGACCGAGCTCGAAAGGCTCTGGAAGAGCACGGACGTGCATACACTCACACTCACTCACCTGCGGCCGCACACAGGCATGCCTAACGCAGGACAGAAATGGGAGGAAGAATAAATATATGGAAGAATGCACGCACATCCAAGCGCTGGATGGGTTCCAAGATATCCAAGGTCCGAAACTGAAGCTGGTCCAACGGTCCAAAGCACCCTGCTAGTATATACCGAACCTGCTAGTTGTGAACCGCACCTTTTCCACTCATTGCTATAATTAATGACTGCCGTACCGAAAAAGGTGCTTGAGGATCCTTCTATCAAAACTGCTGGATGACGGCCGGGAGGACCTGATACAGCCCAACAAACACCTTTAGTCACAAGGCGGGAACTTCCCCGTCTTGCAACGGGGCCGGAACCGTGGGGTCTCCGGATGCCCCCGGGTCGTCGTGTCCTGACGCTCTTTGCCCAACAAGATTCCGCGGTCCACAGTGCCACGAGACCTCGCTTTGGGAGGAGCAACTTGCTACACGAGAAGTGAAAAAAGTAGAACTTTGGTGATCATTCACAGAAAAGTGCTGCTTCAGCTGCCTCTACCGCTTCTACCAACTCTTCAGTCAAGAGTTCTCCACCCCAAAATCTTTGTACAACACTTGTTCTGACAGGTCGACCCAAAAATCCTGGCAGCAACACCTGCTTAAGACGAGGAGTGCAGAGGTGAATTCACTCACTTGGCGAGAATTCGAAGCAAGCTCTTCTCACAACACTGCCCAAATGGTTCGGTCGAGGTTTTGTGTGTGCAGTACACTCGAACGTTCCAGGATATATATATATATATATACCTATAGAGCCAAGTGTAACACAAATTTAGGTATCAAAAAAAACTTGGCCGTTTGGATGATAAGTGCTCGAATCTTAGAATATCACTCGAATCGCCAAAAAGCGCTCGAGATGCTTTCCTTCTTCCCCTACTTCACACGTACATCCGTGCACAACGAGCTCTTCAAGATTCCTTTTGTTGCCGGGATCCTCAGCCAGTGTCTCAGATCCTTACAAATAGCCAGCACCAAAGTGGTAGGCCCACTCACGCCGGTACTTGCCCAGCGCCCGATCTATACATCTCGTCGAGGCAGTCAGGACATGTGTCCGCCGGGAAATGCGAGAACAGCGTCCCACAAAATCTTCGTCTGCCCAACACATGTGGACAGACATGTTGAGTATGTACTCGGATCCGGTTGCTAGCATATCTTCCATGTCCAACCTTGGCCCAAGGCCAAGATTTCAATTGGGTCAGTGGCTGCTTGTTTATCAATTTGCACCTATCCATGTTTGAGAACTACCCAAACGCCAAGAAGCTGGAGATGGCACATCATGTGGAGTTTTGGTCTAACCTTGAATAGGCGAAGAGAGAGTTTGCTTGTCAAGGAAGCCAATGTCATGTATCCATCCTGAGGCAGACCAGTAGCAAGGTCAAAAGGTGAAGGGTGCACAACACATGGCATGCTTTTACATGCGTTTACTTAAGCAGAGGTTCGGTGAACCTCCATCCGTCTTGAACCACCTGTTGAGCAACAGAGCGGTTTAGCCAAACTCCTTCACGATATATTGTTCGCCAATACCGGTCACAGGCGTGGCTGGCCCACACCAAAACTTCCACAACTTCTCTCACGGGACCATCCTGCAGACACATGTCCGATGAAGGGTTCAAGTTTGAGAAACGGTTGCACAAGAGTTTTGGCCCAGCTGCAATCGAGGCCGGCTGGATTTGGTGGAGCTCTGCATCCAACCAGGCGCCGACGACACCAGAGTCAAATCCTTTGCCCAAACCTTGAGGATAGTTGTTGAACCTCAATTCCACCCAGAACTTGCATACCGCTAGAGGAACCATGACAAAAAACACATGCATGGAAACTGAAACTGAACAGGTGTTCTGCAAGTGGTGGTCAATCTAGGGGCGAGTTCTGGGGCAGTTTGAAGGTCTTGTAGCTGAAATCGGTGATGCTGGTGGTCTTTCCGTATGCTTCACAATATGATATGAAGCGAGCATACGCACGAGATAGTTTCATGTCCATGCTTCCATGTCCAAACCAACCCGCGTGGCAAAGAATCATGATGCCAGAAGCTAGAAAGGATTTCCCTATGCCATCGATGGCATAGGTATGGGCAGGATCTATTCTGATGTACTGGGCACTATCTCCTGTAGGCAAGTCCCTCAAAGGGCTTCGCCAGTCATCTTTGAACGGACTGGCCATCTCCGGATCACGAACGCGCACACGTTTGAGGGCCCCTTTCACATCATACCAGTTCTCCTTAGCCACAGGGTGGTTTGATGGTCAAGTCAAAATCCCCAAACTTGCGATGAACACAATTACCACATATGACTTGCATGCATGTGCACACTACCGACACTACCGATATCTACTAACGCACGCTCAGGCCAGGCTGCCCCCAGATCACATCGGTGACACTTGCGATTACAATTGTAACCGCAATTGAGCCCTAGGGCACTCCTCAGAAAAGGCCAATCACCCTTGGTCCCTGTGAAGGTAAAGTAGTATCTGTAGGTGCTGCCTTCCCATGTGACCTAAGCTGCAAGTTCGAGGGTGCTGCAGCCTGTAGGTAGTGCCTAAGGTAATCCGGAAAGGCCAAGCACTAAGTCAACCACAGCTACACCTTCGGTGCTCAATCTATTCAGGTCATTGACCATGTCAGCAAGCGCAACACGCACGTTCTCTTGTGAATAGGGAGACGGGAGCACTGTGTAGAGGAGGCGAGTACAAAACGTTGGCCTAGGATCACAGTTCCATCGTACAGGAAAAACATGGAAAAACAATATATACACATCACGTAACACATAAGCAAATGCAAGAAAAGTAAAACTGCACTTAGGTTCCAAGCAACCCCCTCATGTTTTATTTTTGCCCTTGTAAAGGTAGTAGTGGCTGAAAAGCTATGATCAAAATAGGTTGCTTTGCACGGCCCCTACCCTCATCTCCATGAATTGCGATTGGTATGCGCCATGCCCTCTTGTTGGCATCCGGCAAAGGAAAATCAGGGTGGGTTGCTCCGAAGTGGCTCCAAAACTCCTGAAGCTCCAAACCAAAAGCGGCAGCATTTGCAAGCGAATTTCCTCTAAAGGAAAAAATGGCCACCAGCTTTAAAGCTTACACGGGCCCAATCGCTCAGTCTCACAATTGGGTGGGCCACTGGCACCATATTAAGCTTTTTGCAGGACATCCGCTCTTGCATTTCAAGAAATGACACATGCACTGGCAATATTTTGCCTTTTCTCCGAATTAGGTTGTGCAGGTTCCTGCAAGCGTGGGAATCCACCCGTTTGTTGCCACACTTGGCCATGCGTTCCATCATAGGGTCCCTCAATCCTCAGCTTTAAAGCACAGCTCAAGAAGGATCAATATGGCAATTAATATCGATCATATACTACTCACATACTAGCTAGAATAGATCACAAGCAAACGGACACACATGTTTGGCAGAGGGTCCATGCTTTCGGAACTTGTTGTTGGCAACCCTTGCTAGCCGCGATACTCTGGAGGCAGACTCAGCCTTAGGATGTCCAACCGGGAACGCATTGCACAATGCACTCTTTAGCAAAGACTGCTGAACCAAGGAGCCCCCTCCTCAAATCCAATGAGAAATTCGTCTGCCAGGTCTGTGTCTTCAGAGCTGGTCTCCAGAATAGCACCTGCAGCATTGGAGGTGCAACAGCGCGTTTCAGGGGGACATGGGAACGCCGGTCAATGCTTGGTGCCTGCAGGTGAATAATCCATCCCATCCTCCACATCTACACCTGCGAATGGGTAGGGCTTTGCTGGAGCAAATGGCCCATTCAGATTGATTTGTGCACCTTGATCTAGCCTTCCACGGAGCACGCAGCTGTTTTAACTTGTTTCGAGCGTGAGATCACCTTGAAATCCAAAGAAACACCCCAAGCATCAATTATGTAGCTCATTGGGGAACATCTCAACCGGAGCAGGCTAAAGGCTTCAACATTGAGGTTTTATGCGGTTTTGATGCTGCTGAGCACCAACAACAAAAAGAGGTAAGTGAAGTGCTCAAAAACTCCTAGTTGAGCCCCAGCTGAGCCAATCAGTCACGTGGTCAAACCACATGCCCCAAAATTCACATAACCCTAGACTATGCCCCAGCTTTTCCTGGGGCAGCTTTCCGCTTTGGCCTCGAAGTGCCAGGCGTATCTTTCTTCGGCGACGACTTTGGTTTGGAAGCATTCTTGGAATGCTTCTTGGCAGCCGTTTTGGCACCAGGGGCAACTTTCACATTCCTGGCAGTGTGGCGTGGGCAGGTGGAGGCCCCATACATATGACAGATAGACTTGAAGTAGAAGGAAGTGATGGAATGTGCACAATCATTCAACGTTTGAACCTTGCTCGAACGACCAAGTTGTTCAAGGACACATCCATCTTGGTAAGGTCCGCGAATTTGCCAAGCAACGATTTTGATACCTCTGGCCTCAATTCAGACCAGTTGGAACTGAGGTGGTCACGTTGGAAAAACCATTGTTGCCTTTTGGACAATTGTTCATGCAGTTATGCTCAATAGCATTCAATTGCTGGGCAAAATTGAGACCAAGTGGCGTCGTGGTTCGCGTAACTGCAGTATCCGCTTGCTGTTTTTCCAATTCCCTGTAGATCTTCTTCATGTTTCCCACGTGGGAAGTGATACTGGCGGAAAGCCTGATGGAGCAGGATAAATACTGTACAGGTTATCAGGTTAGTGAAACAAATCATGTACTTCCAAGGAGCTTGTCAGGGTTTAGATTTCATTTTTGCTTTTGTACCGAACTAAGCTCACCACTCTTTGGCTTGTGGGCTGCCAACCTTGTTCAACTTCTCCTGTGAGATTGGTATGTTGGGGGCAGAAACTAGAGAAGAACACATAGTTATACATATGTTGCTCTTTTGACTTGCAGTAGGCGCATGTTTTTCTCAAGAACCCGCTCCAGAATTGCCGACGCGTTGTCTATCTTTCTCCCACAGACTTCGATCCAGCTCGGAAGCAAAGACACTGCTGAATCGTTTTGCTGCAGGGACGGGAATACAAGCCTCAGCACACATGGGCACACACACCAAGAAGTCACAACCCGCTACTTCTTGATTGTCAATCAGACATCCCACCCATGTCACCACACAAAGCTTTGCTCAGATCAATTGCCTGACATTGGTTCCAAAGTTATTCAAACCCTTGAGTTCTTGAGATTGGAGAACACTTTGGGCGGACCCTGAACGACTTAAGATCAGTAGCTTGAAAGATCCAGAACTGTTGGCAGCCACGTCCTCAGGCTTCAGGCTAGCATCGGTGTCGCGGACCTTTGCAAGGAGAGCCTCACCCTTGTTGGTGATGCTGGGCAGGGAATCATCCAATAGAAGCGAATTGATATCCTGCGCCAAGACTTTTGCAGCTAGGCAACCCTCCCACCAAAGACTTAGAGGTGACTGTAACTTTAAACATATCTGGACGTCCG